CTCCTCTGGACCCTCTCGATGCTGTCTGCATCCCTCGTAAAGTGCGGCGCCCAGAACTGGACGCAGTGCTGCAGCTGCAGCCTGACCAGTGCTGCATAGAGGGGGCGGATCACCTCCTTGTCCCTGCTAGAGATGCATCTGTGGATGCACGACAAGATCCGGTTAGCCCTGCCAACCGTGACCTCGTATTGTCGGCCCATGTTCATCCTGGAGTCAATAATGACTCCAAGATCCCTTTCTGCCTCCCTGCTCTCAAGAAGGGAGTCTCCCATCTTATAAGTGTGCTGCTGGTTACTACTGCCCAAGTGCAGCACCCTGCACATAAGAGATGACACCTTTCCTCATGTGGCTGGGACCCAACCCATATAGAACTTACAACCAATGCTCAGAGAGATGGTTAGTCATGTTAGTCTGACGACAGGCAGAAAGCAGGACAGAATTAACAGTTCTTCCATAGCATGTGACAAAGCAGGTTGCTGCCTACAAATGCTCGTGCCACCCTGTCCTACCTTCAACTCAAGGTCAGGACATTGAACTGTTCCCGGAAGCAATGAAACAACCGGTAAGAATTTAGAAGACTGGTGTAAAATGTTTTATAAGGGCCTCTACTGCTACTTGAGGAGCCAGCCAAGATGTCTTCTACGACAGCCTCACAATAAGGGCACACTGTACAGGCAGTCCTTGACTTACAACATTTTGAGTTACAACATTTATAAATTGACACCGGTTTCAACTTTCTGACGTCAGTTTTGACTTTACACCACTTGATCTGACGTGATGCCACACCAGCAAACAAGTTCACTGCGTCGCCCATCTCCCTGGAAAACATCTGTCCAAACTTCCTTGGACGCTTTCTTTAAAGCAGACAAGACTCCAGAAGAACCTGCAGCCAAGACTCCTGAGAAGACTCCAGTCACTAACCCTTCAAAAAGTCCAGCAAAGTCACCTCAAAGAAGTCCTTCCAAATCAATACAATTGCTATTTACAATATAAATACTTTAATGTAGCTATATTACTCATCTATAATTGACTGAGTACAAAATCCTGGGTTGTTTTTGGTGAAAATAGGGTATTGGGCCTTGGTTCAGGAGCCTCTCTCGCATTTATAACATTGTTTCCTATGGGAAAATCAGTTCTGAGTTACATTTCAACTTAAGATGTGGTTTTCGGGAACCAATTGTGTCATAAGTCTGAGAACTGCCTGTATAGTAATCCAGTCTGGACATCACAAACACACAAATACTGGAACATTCACATGAGAGACATCCCTTTACCTACATGTAGGCAGACAAAGAGATACTGCCAACTACCAATACAACTCATATTTTTTAGTGAAAAGGGTACAGTGGCATTATCTGCATAGTGAAACATCAAAATATTTCAGTAGCGTTCCCCAAGCTTCACATGCTTTTTGGCTGGAGTAACAAAAGCACTGAAAACCACCACATGGAAAAATCAGAAGAGCAGGTGGCTGTCCCAACTGCAATCTCTATTAGATACAGCAGAATCACTCACATGCATTCTCACCCACTGCACTTGAGATTCATCAGCAAATCTCAGTCAATGACAGCACATCCTGCTAACAGATCTAAAATCACTGGCACAGGCACCTGGGCAGTGCTCAAGAGAATGTCAACCAGCAAGTATGTGAAAACGAAATGTTTGATTTCAATTAGTGCTTTTGACGATTCCCCATTATTAAAGCAGGGCAGGAACCAATTTAGAGAATCTCAGTGCCAGCATCACACGTGGCATCAGGGACACGTGCTGTACAAGGTGGAGGGATATCAGCTGTGATGAAAAAGTGCTTCTTGCCTTATAAATTTAAGGTTGGGAAAAACTGATATAGTTTTCTTTTAAGGACAGCAATATTTCTTTTCCTTAAGCTGAAAGCTGGCCAACAGCCTGGTGTGCTTGCAAAACAAGAGCTCACCTTTAAGTGTCCTCACATGAACGGGCAGATCACTCTTCGTACTGTACACGTCATCTCCTGGAGACTGTCTTCTCATTAAACTTGGATCATTCTGTACCAGCCAATCAGCCACTTTGCTCTCCGCTGAGATCATCTCTGTGTGGGCAGGCTCCTTACTAAAGGGTCTTCTTTGTCTAAGTGAAAATTTAGTAACGTGATCTTTTATCTTTATTTTACCAGGAGTACCGTCATCAAATTCAATGGTAAAAGAGGCGTGGCTTTGCACAACGGGTGGAACTACTGAGTCAACGTCCTTGGTTGGGATCTCATGGACCTGCGTTTCAGGAGATTTGGCCAGCTGCTGGAATTCTTTAGTGGGGATTTCAAAGTAACTGGGTTCTCGTCGGAATGCATATACCGACTGTTCCTGGGAGTCTCTATAAGCATTAATGTTACCGTTGAGCTCTTCTTCATGTTGGGGCATCTCCTTTGTTCTTTCTACAGATTCAAAAACAAATTGAGAGAAAAACCATTAGATAATTCAAACATTTTTAAACAAAATACCTAGTTAAGACATCTGGCAGATTCTTTTTACACAGCTGCAAATAACAGCGTAATTACTTATCTGTGAATCTTCCAGTTGTGCACTGAGTAATGACACTACTATCTATCCCATTTATTTTCTCTCATCTACCCAAAGGAAAAAATTGAGTATGCAATGAAGTGTTCGGGTCTTGGTTGGATTTGGAATTTCAGTTTTGCTTCAGGTATGTTCTGGAGGGGAGGACTGGCATTGTCAGGTTTATTCCATTTGTGTGTTGTGAGGTGTTTGCATACCACAAGACTGGTCAAAAAGGCACCTTTGGAAGGTGGCAAAGTCTGTGTTGGTCCTCCATCCCTGACATTTCAGCCAAACTTCAAGTGACTTTGCATCCAAGCTGGAGACTTACAAGGGTAGGAGGGCTCTTCTCAGCCAGACTGGCTGACCTGCTCAACCAGGCTTTAAACTAAGCCCGCCAGGGGATAGGTGGATAACCGCCAATGCAAGCCCACTAGGCAACTATTGCATAACCAGCAAGTTAGGGCACCCAAGGGAATCCAAACCTATCCCAGCCCTGGAACAGTGTCCACCTGGGAGTGCAAGGAAGCCTAGGGCTTCCAATGGGACACTTATGTGTCTGTACACCAATGCCAGGAGCTTAGAACAAACAGGAGGAACTGGTCCTTCTGCTAAACAAGAATGACTACAATCTCATAGGGATAACAGAGACCTGGTGGGACTCCACCTATGACTGGGCCATGGGTATAGATGGTTATACCCTGTACAGGAGAGATCATGCAGATAAGAGGGGTGGGATTGTAGCTCTCTCTGTCAAGGAAAGCTACACATCCCTGCAAAGTGACACTGGCACCCAGGGAGGACAACTGGAGTCCCTCTGGGTTAAAACACGTGGGGAACATGGCACAGGGGACATCATGTAAGAGTCTACTACAGACCTAACAAAAAACAAGAGCTAGATCAGGAATTCACCAGGAAACTGGCTGAGGCTGCACGCTCTCAGTGCATGATTATCATGGGAGACTTTAACTACCCGGACATCTCATGGGAAGAGCACTCAGCCACATCTGATAGGTCACAAAGCTTCCTCACATACATGGACAAGCTCTACCTGATTCAAGAAGTCTATGGGCCAACAAGAGGTAAAGCAAAGCTGGACCTGGTACTGGCCAAAGGGGATGATCTAGTCAGTGACCTAAAAATCAATGGAAAGCTGGGTGATAGTGACCACGAGCTGATCACCTTTACTATCCATCACAAAGCTGGCAAGTCAGTGGGCAATGCAGAAGTCCTCAACTTTAGGAAAGCTGACTTTGACAAGCTCAGGAGGCTCATTGTCGAGGCCCTAAGGGACCATGACTCGTCAGGAAGAGGAGTCCAAGAGGACTGGTTGCTCCTTAAGGGAGCGATCCTGACCGCACAAGGGTTGTCCATCCCATCTTGGAGGAAGGGTAGCAAAAGGGTACAGTGACTCCCTTGGCTCAGCAGGGAACTTGAGGACCTCCTTTGTCTAAAAAGAGAGGATGGAAGACTGGAATCACCACTAAGGAGGAGTATTCTGAACTGGTCCAGACCTTCAGGGAGCAAACCAGGAAAGCCAAGGCTGCAATCAACCTCCAACTAGCTATACATATCAAGGACAATAAAAAGTCTTTTTTCAGATATGTGGCGAGTCAGAAGAAAAGCAAGGGTAACACAGGACCCCTGCCAAGCCAAATGGGACAACTGACAACCAACACCCAGGAAAAAGCCAGCCTGCTTAATGGGTATTTTGCATCTGTTTTTCACAAGCCCAAAGGGACTGCCCTACCTAACATGACGCGGGACGGCCAGGGTGAGGGAGTATCTATACCCAGCATTGGTGTAGACCTTGTAAAGGAACACCTTGAGAGGCTGGACATCTTCAAGTCAGCTGGTCCTGACAGACTACACCCTAGAGTACTCAAGGAGCTGGCAGGTGTCATAGACCAACCATTGGAAAAAATATTCGAAAACTCATGGCGCTCAGGTGAAGTACCCAAAGACTGGAAGAAGGCCAATGTGGTACCCATCTTCAAAAAAGGGTGGAAAGTAGATCCTGGGAATTACAGGCCAGTCAGCTTGACCTCAATCCCCGGTAAAATTCTGGAGAAAATTATCAAAGAGACCCTTCTTGATAAGATGGCGGATGGCAACATCCTGAGGGACAGCCAGCACGGGTTTGTTGTGGGTAGGTCTTGACTAACCAATCTCATCTCCGTCTATAACCAGGTGACATATCACCTAGACAAGGGAGAAGAGATTGACATCATATATCTGGACTTTAAAAAAGCCTTTGATCTGGTGTCCCATGATCTCATCATGGAAAAACTGGCAGACGGTGGCCTTGGCTACATCGCAGTCCGATGGCTGGGAATTTGGCTCCGAGGTTGGACCTAGAGAGTAGTAGTCGATGGATGCAAATCATTATGGAGTCCCGTGACCAGTGATGTCCCCCAAGACTCTGTCCTTGGACCGATTCTCTTTAACATCTTTATCAACAATGTGGACATTGGGTCAGAAGCGGACTGTCCAAGTTTGCCCACGACACTAAACTTTGGGGCATAGCCTCCACACCTGAGGATAGGCTAGTGATCCAGGCTGACTTGGATAAGCTTAGTAAGTGGGCGGATATAAACCTGATGATGTTCAATATCGAAAAATGCAAGGTACTACACCTTGGGGGAAAAAAACCTGCTGCAGCATGCTTATAGGCTTGGCTGTGCTATGCTCGCTATCACCATGT